TGGCCTCTCATCTGTCCACGGCTCCTTCCTCCCTTTTTTTTGCCATGTTTGAATTCTGGGGGGGCTTGTTTGGTGACCACTTATTAATACACTGGGACATAATTCATACATGGAACATCAATACAGTTGGGGCTATTGTTCCCACACGGACATGTTATGTGTTTACTATATACTGTATGTTGTGTGCCCGCCTGACTTCACCCTCTTCTTCCCGGACTGCAACCGGACAACAGCTGTTAAATAAAGTACCTTTTTGCACCTTCCTTGCACCACCTCTGACTCCCTATCTCTCGGCACTACAATGGCATCGATTATAGTACACTATAACAGGGTGTCCGCGGGGTCTTAAAAAGTATTAAAAGTTGATAAATCAATATAGCGAAAATGAAGGCTATTAAAAAGTATTAAAAAGTATTAAACGGCATTTTTCAAGGTATTACATTTTGTAGCTTGTTTTCAATAAGTATATAAATTGTCCAAAGAGGTTGTGTTCTACAGTCTGCCTGAATGTAATCATTGCGTAGGTGTGTAGTGTGATTCTGTGTAGTTTATTTATGGCATCCCGTTGGGTTTGACGTCATCTGAACAGGACATCGCACGCTCACTGCTTGATAGCGCGCGAAGGTCCGTTTACGCCGGTTGTTAAACAACATCGTTATGGGGAAATGCAAGTCTGCGTCCAAATGGTTGGAAGATAAGGAGGAAGGACAATCAATACTGTATATAGTCAATGTGAGGTAAAGTGTGTCGCCAAGGTAACCGGTGTGTGGCGATGAGGTCTTAAAATGTATGGCAAGGGTCTTAAAAGGTCTCACATCTGACTTCAGGATTCCTGCATATACTATATATAATGAAGTAAAAAGACGTGTTTGTGTGTGTATACTGTGTGTATACTGTGTGTGTGTGTGTGTGTGTGTGTGTGTGTGTGTGTGTGTGCGCTGCAGGTTTCTTCCTGCCAGTCTTCACTCAGGGAAAACCCCCCCTCACTTCAAGGTGACGTACAACGTGTCTACGTCACTTCCACAAACAACATGGCGGCGGTCTTGCGGAGGGCGTGCAGCGGAGTCTCTTCCAGGTTTTTATTCCTTTATTTACTTTGTTTAACTTGTTTACTGTAAACATTTCAATGTGTTTGTTGTTCGACCGCCCGCCGCATCAGTCAGTGACGCGTCCGGAGCGTCACGGCGCTGTGACGCATTTACCTGTGACGTCAGACTCAAAATAACGTTTCACTGCGTGTGACGTCAGACAGGTGTGTTTAATGTGACGTCACACAGGTGCTGGGTGTGCGAGCCGGAGTGATGAAGCTTCGGCTCAGGTAACGCCTTTTTATTTATTATTTGACGACAACAATAAACTATATAATATAATATGGTTTTAGTTTTCTGTAAGAATCAGCCAAGAAAGATAAACAACAACAACAACATCTGGTCCCTCTCAAGTAAACATGTTGAGTGGTTTTGTTTGTCTTTAGAGAGTAATCTGCGCCAGGTAACACTAACCATGTGTGGTTTTTCAGGTGTTCATCACGTGACAAGGTGAATCTCACCTGATGATAAAAACATTATTATTAAATAATGAAATATATTTATGTAGATAAATTCATATGTGTTAAAGATCCTGACAACAATTTTATTTATTTATAGAGTTTCTTCTCTGAGCTACAGTCAGCAGAGAGCGCTGAACACAGGTGAGTCCCACCTCCTCACTTCCTGTCCCGCCTCCTCACTTCCTCTCCACTTGCTCTCCACTTCCTCCCTACTTCCTCTCCACTTCCTCCCTACTTCCTCTCCACTTCCACCCTACTTCCTCTCATGAGATGAAATACATTTTTAAATGCTGTAGAATGAGTGTCAGCCAGGTGACAGGAAGCACCTGTATAGGACAATAATAAACATGTTGTTAGGTACACCTGTAATAAGTGATAAAGGTACACCTGTCCTCAGTGTACACCTGTCCTCAGTGCTAAAGGTTAACGGATGTCCTTCCTTCCTTAATGTGTAAACCAAGGCGTCCCCAGCGGACCGCGCAGGAGCGTCTTTCAGATGGTCTGCAATGTGTTGGAAATCTGTAAATAAAGCTTTCATTCTGAATCTCTGACCATCAGAAATACTGTAATAATTGCCTCCTGTAGTCCATGGTTACATCATCTCCCCAGCAGGAGTCCCACGGAGCCGCCGTTAGCACGTTAGCATGCTACACATAAATGCAATGTAATGTAATGTACACTCCAACAAGCCGTCCAACATGCTAACGCTAGTAGCTAGCCCGCATCTTGAACAGCTCAAATATAACTCTTTGTTTCTGACACGACTAGCTGAGCGGCTAGCTGAAGCGGCTAGTTGAGCGGCTAGCTGAAGCAGCTAGCTAGCTGAGTGGCTAGCTGAACGCTCAGCTGAACGGCTAGCTGAAGTGGCTAGCTGAAGCGGCTAGCTGAGCGGCTCAGCTGTGCGGCTAGCTGAAGCGGCTAGCTGAGCGGCTCAGCTGAGCGGCTAGCGCTCCCGGGGGCTGAGTTGTTAATAACAACTCAATAAAATATTAAAGGTCACATGTCATGGCCATTTCCACTGATCATAATTCCATTGTTGAGGTATACTAAAATAGAAAATACTGTGCAATTTTCCAAACTCACATTGGTTTCGCATACAGCATCTCTGTAAAGTATGTGTATTCAGCAGTATTCACTTTCTCCACTAAGCGGCTCGCTGCAGCTCCTCCCCCCCCCTCCGTGATTTCCTTGTTTAGCGATACACAGCCAAACACAGCCAAACTCACCCTGAACACACACAAAGTCACAGCCGAAATAAAAACAATAAGTGTGGCTTGATATTGAGTAAGAAAAAGGTTGATAAGGTTGATAAACGCTGTGAGAATGGGTCTGCAGAGAGAATTTCGTGCGATCCCAACTGTCTGTTATCAACCTGCAGCAGGGAGCAGAAATCAGCAGGGCTGCCTGCACTGAGTGTGTGTGTGGATTGGTCAATTTGGACCAATCAGCGGGGGCTTAACGTAACGGCTCCACGGATCGTAACGTAACGGCTCCACGGATTGGCCCATTTAGTTCCGGGTACGTGCTTTCGTAAGCACGTACCCGGAACTAAATGGACCCGTACCCGGAAGAATCAAATGACGATGACGTCATGATGACGTTTCACCAACAAGACGTTTTGGGGAGGTATTTTCTGTTTTAGAGTTTTACTCGCT